ACTCCACAATAGCTTATCTCGAAATAGCACGTCTAGTCTACAGGGAAGCCTCAAAATGAGTTCGAGGCAGGCTTCTCTAATGTGGACGCACTACCTCGATTAGAGCACCAGGAGGCACTGGGGAGTTATTATTCTGAATGGCCCTGGGGAGGAGCTATTTCGAAATAGCAGCAGTGGAGCGTCCACACTACTGCTATTCTGAAATAGCTATTTCAGAAGAGGCGTTATTCCTTGTGGAATGAGGTTTACAGAAGTCGGAATAAGCCGCCCGTTATTTCAAATTTATTTCGAAATAACAGAATTGCTGTGTAGACGCTCTCATTGTTATTTTGGAGTAACAGCTGTTACTCCGAAATAATACTGCTGTGTAGATGCACCCTGACAGATTTATTTGGGCATCAGCTTTCATAGGTAAAAAAACCACTTCGTTAGATGCAACATGATGACCATAATGTAACTAAATGTAACATCCTTGTGTGGAATGGGGAACACCATAGCAACATTCATCTTCAGAAAGGGGAGCTATACACAAATAAGGAAGTTAGTTACATGGAAATTAAAAGGTGCCTGGAAGCTGCATGGAAACTTTTGAAAAACACCAAAATAGAGGCTATTTAAAAACATAGTAAGAGAGCTTAAAAGTGGACTATGGCTAAATAACAAAGTGGTTATAGGCAAAAGGCATCCTTTAAAAACTGGAAGTTAAAGATCCTACTGAGGAAAATAGAAAGAAGCCCTAGCTCTGGTAAATCAACTGCAGAAGCATTATTAGGTAGGCCAAAAAAAGAATCTGAAGAGCAAGAAGCAAAGCACTTGAAACCTGACAACAAAAACCTTTTTAAGTACATTTGAAGCAATAGGTCTGCCAAACAGTCAGTGCATTCCCTGGACGATCAAATTGCTAAAGGAGCACTGACGGGAAATAATTCATTGTGGAGAAACAAAACGAATTCTTTGAATCAGTCTTCGGAGGGAGATTCCCACAGCTGAGCCATTCTTTTTAGGTAACAGAAGGGAGGAATTGCTCCAGACTGAGATGTTGGAACAAACGGATCAATTAAACAGTAAGTCCCTGGGGTTGGATGGTATTTACCCAAGAGTTCTGAAGAAACCCAAACATGAAACTGGCATGCAACCTATTGCTTACACCAGCTTTCATACTGGATGACTGGCGGATAGCTAATGTGACACAAATTTTTAGAAGAGGCTCCTGCGGTGATCCTGGCAATTGCAGAGTACAGACCTATAAGTCTAATGTTAGTACTAGGCAAAATTGTTGAAATTACAGTAACAAAGAGAATTATCAGACACAAAGATAAACATCATTTGTTGGGGGAGAATCAACATGGTTTTTATAAAGACAAAGCATGCCTTGAGCTGTTAGAATTCTTTGAAGTGATTAACAAATATATGACCCCGAATGATCTAGCAGACACAGTGTACATGGACAGAGTCTTTGGTGAGGGACCATGTAAAAGGGTTCTGAGATAAAATGAGCCGTCTTGGGATAAGCAGGAAGGACCTCTCCTGCACCAGTAACTGGTTAAAAGACGCGTGGCAGACCACAGGCAGCAGGCTGCAATAAGCTGATGGAGGGCAGGTACACGGGTAGTTGGATGAGCAAGTTCCTAGCCCCTGAATAGGCTGCCAGAGACGGCTGCCCAGCAATTAAGACAGGCAAGTACCTGGGACTCATTAAGAGCCAGCCTGCAGCAGCAGGCTAATGGGGCACCTGCAGCCAGTTCGGGCCTGCTGGGCCACTCGAAAAGGTTTCCCCTGGGACAAGGAGGGGGGAAGGAGAAGAGGGACAGACTGGAGAGGAGGCAGAGCAGACAGACTGCAAGCAGGAGAAGGTCTGTAGATGTTGTTGGGGAAGTGGCCCTGGGAAAGGCTGCTATTCTGTGGGATGTAAGGACAAGAGTCCCACTAATGGCTGCGTCTTAGGGCCCTGGGCTGTAACCCAGGACAAGTGAGCAGGACTGGGTTCCCCACCAACCCTCCCTATGCCCCTGGGCTGCCACCAGGGAACAGGGGACCTTTGAGCTGTGGAAGGGTTTTTCCCTCCAAGCTAGTGACTGGCCTATGGTGAAAAGGGCTCATTAAGTGGGGAACCCCCACCTCTGAGAGAAAGAAGAGGCAGCGAGAGGGTCACTGTGAGGCAAACTAAAAATCCGCCAAGAAGCGCAGGAGCCCGGGGGCGTGACCAGAGCTCTGCACGGAGCGTGGATGTGCAGGTGCATGCGCCCCTGATGTTGTGGGCTATGTGGTTATGTCCGATTACAGAGGAGCACATCTGAACTGGAGTTCATTTGCAAGTTCAACACTATCAGCTTAGGCTTGAATAAAGATCTTAACAGGTTAACTCACTACAAAGGCAATTTCTCTACCTTTGTCATTCGCATTTCCACATCACATGCTATGAATGAGACACATCCACCCTGACTTAATGAAGCTAATTAACGGGTCCTACAATTGACAGGTAAATTCTTTTCCTGTAATTTCCACTCCAACTCATCCGATAAAGTGGGTTTTACCCACGCAAGCTCATAACCTAGTATATTCATAAGTCCCTAAGTTGTCACAGGACTGCTCATTGTTTTTAAATTACAGACTAATAGGGTTACGCCTCTAAAACTTTTTACTGTGTAAGATAAGTGCCAAGTCCAAAGCAGACAGGAAAGAGTTACAATCACAGAGCAATGATGATGAATGCAAAATAATGTGCATTGGAAAATCTAAACCCAACTAAATATATAAAATGATCTAAATTAATTTTTACTACTCAGGAAAGAGATCTTTGAGTCATTCTGCATAGTGCTCTGGAAACATCTGCTCAGTCTAACAGAGTGCTAGGAACCATTAGGAAAAGGATAGATAAGACAGTAATATCAGAATGCCACATTATAAATCCAGAGTATGCCCACATTTTGAAAACTGCATGTAGTTCTGGTCATCTCATTTCAAAAACGATATTAAAATTAGAAAAGGTACAAAGAAGGCCACAAAAATGATTAAGGGTATGGAACAACATCTGTATAAGTAGAGATTAAACAACTAAGGGTGGGGCCATGAGATAAATGTCTATAAAATCATGACTGATGTGGAGAAATTGAGTAAGGAAGTGATTTTACTCTTTCACACAACTCAGGAACCAGGATGAAATTAATAGGTGGCAAATTGAAAACACACAAAAGGAGGTACTTCTTCACACAATGCACAGTCAGCCTGTGGAACTCACTGCCAGGGGATGTTGCGAAGGCCAAAACTATTACCATGTCCAAAAAAGAATTAGGTAAGTCCATGCAGGATACGTCCAGCAGTGGTTACTAGATATGATAGCCAGGGATCCTCTGATGTCCCTAGCCTCTGCCTACCAGCAGCTGAGAGAGAACAACAGAGGATGGATCACATGATAGTTGCCCTGTTCATCCCCTCTGCAGCATCTGTCATTGGCCTCTGGCAGCAGACAGGATACTGGGTTACATGGCCCAACGGCCTGACCCAGTGTGGACATTTTCATGTTCATGGCCCAACGGCCTGACCCAGTGTGGACATTTTCATGTTCTTAAACCATTTTGATAAATGTTAGAAAGATTTATAATTATTCCTTTTGAAAAATCACAATTGCCAAGCTTACCCAGACCCCCCATTGCCCTAACAAAGGGCTTTTCAAACGTTTTAGATGGAGCTCTCTATTCTGCATAATGTAGTAGACCCCAGACACCACCGGAGATCAGCGAGGTGACATGGGGGGCCACGTAGGGTCACCCAAAAAGCAACTGTTTCACAAAGATTCCAAAATGGGAGTGTGCCCCCCTAAGGGGGCCCAGAGGAATGTTCCAAGGGGGACCACAGGGCTCTTGGAGGGAGTGCCACTCATCTCACTGGGGCACTGTGATGGGTTTCACTGTCCTTTCCAGAGTGCCCACTCTGGGCGACTGCGCATACCCACACTCCATTCTCTCCCTGTTTCTTCCTGCTCCGGGATGGAGCAGTGTCCCAGGGCGCCAACCTCAGACAATGTCCTCACCCTCTTGGGGCTTCCTCGTTACAACTCTCTAGCTGGGCCACTATGCTTCAGTTTCCCCTCTCGAGTTCCTCGGTGTCCAGGCCTCTTCTCCGCCCCCCCCCCCGGGCTAATGGAACACAGAGGCGGCCAGGCCTGCCCATTACTCTGTACCAGTCCAGGGACTCTTTAAATAGCAGCTGTCTGCTGTGTCCATTCATTTACATTCCACCGCTACTCTAATTCCTTACACCACCTCCCCCGAGCCCTGCACCATCTCCACCCTTCCCTCCCAGCTTTGACCAAATGGAGTACAAGCAACCAACTCAGGGTTCTTCATTCTCTCTGGCTCCTGCCAGCACCAGGGCTCTGCAGCTCTGTCAGCCAGCCACGCTGTCCATGCTCCTACAGCTACAGCAAGGAACTGAAGTGGGTCTGGCCCAGCAACTCTCTTTATACTAGCTTGCTGGGCCCTGATTGGCTGCTTCTCACACAGCCGCTCCAGGGAGCTTGGAGGACTTCTCTATTGCTCTTTTCTGGAGTGGGGTGTGGCAGGGCTAGAAAGCGTCCAGCAGGGGACCTTAGTCCACCCGCTCACAGGCACCCAACCTGTCTAGGTTGGAGGAGGGTGCACAATTAAAATTGTAAATCAAAGGAGGCTTAGCTGAATGTTCTCTGCGGCCACTAGGGGACATGCCCCACAGTGTGAAAGCCTTGCTACCAAATAAAATGTGTTCTCCGCCATTACAGGATTTTTCTCACATACCCCCTGATGGGAGCTCATATGCCTGGAGGGTACAACTAGCCCAGTTTGAAAACCCCTCTCTGACGCCTCCTCCTGAAAAGACACCCAGCCTGAGACCTCTCCACCCCGCTTCCCTTTGGGCTTTAGGTTCAGTGCCTGTTGTGGAAAAGCAAAGTTGCAAGGCGTCTCTGCTGTCTCCAAGGCTAAACCACGCAGTGGGGCTGGGGCTGGTCTGAAGCAGGGCTTTACCAGGTTGTCCAGTTCAGGGTCATCACTGAAGAATGGTTTGTGCTCCTGCTCCTGCTGGTGTACAAAGTTCTCAATGTCCACGTCAAAGCTGGCAGAGGTGATGCACTCGGAGCCCTGTGTCGCCTGCTCACACTTCTCGAAGAGCAGCGTCAGGAGCGGGAACAGAGGATGCCTGGAGAGACAGGAAACAACAGTATTCGTTCTGTAAAGCCAGCTTGCTAGGTATTTAACTGATCTCAGCTTCCGAGTGTGGGCGAGTATGATGCTACTCAAGGGGTAAGCAAGGCCATTCCCTTTTCCACCTTCATTCTCATCTTGTTTCCTGACCTTTTTTCATATTTGCCTCTGGGAGGGAGGGAATTCCTTATGCAGATAAATGTCAAAATGGCAGCCAGACCAAGAGGTAAATCTCTCAGAGGCATCTGTATGCCTCCTATTCTAATCCGTTCCAGAAAGCAAACCCCACTGCCTGTGATGTCACAGGGCCGATTACCCACAGTGCCACAGGGGTTACGGTCCAATTTTGATTGGACTGAAATCGGTCAGATGGTGCCCTGACTTACAGTTGTTTGGAAGAGACACTGAGCAGCTGGATTTGGATGCTCTAGAAACAGGGTAACAAACAACGAATGGTCCTGCACCACCGTACAGACTAACAGAAAATGTAGACAGTGTCATGAGCGTACGTGGGCATAAACATTCCCAGCAAAGGCAGGTTTATTTCCTGTTCCTGTAGGCTGTGCTATCTCCTGTTGGGCCCCTCAGAGGGGAATGGACACCATCTACAATGCTTGGTTGACACAGGAAGTTCTCCGCAGCCTAGAACTCCTGCATCATTTTATATTAGTCCTGTCCAGAGTGGCAGAGAAAGAGCGCACAGCAGTCCCGTGGCTCAGAGCAGCGGGGGAGCCAGCAGGGCACACACAGGCAGCAGACACGGAGCCAGTGAGAAAGATCCCATGGGCTGTGCTCACCTTGATAGAGTCAGAGGGGGCCTGGCTCCTCTCGGCTGGCCTCATTACATCATTGCTTGTGAGATGGTCACAGGGAGGGGGAAGCCTTTCTCTTTCATGCCTGTGCCTCAGGGAGACTGAGGCTGTTCCAAAACAAGAGGAAGCCTTAGGACCCAGGATAATTTCATCCGAGTGCGTTGTCTTGTATGTGGTCAGAATTCAGAATTTCAACCAAAATAAAATGATACAAACATTGAATTTTGGACCATTTCCCCGCGTGCGGCCAGTGAGGCTGCAAAAGATCCTCCGAGGTGCACAGCCTTTACCCGAAGGGTCTGACCCTCAGCTCCCTCGCCCAAACCTCCTTTCTGTGAGTTGCCTCATAACGAACAGGCCCAAGATAGACGGGCCCTACACTGCCACCTTCCCCATCCCTGTGCTCCGCAGCCCCCCAAGCCTGACTCTGTGAGCTCTCGATCCGTTTTTTTGGTCTTAGTTAGACTCAGTTCTCCAGGCCACAGAGAGTTTGGAAGGTAATGTGTACTTCCCAGCCTTGCATCAATGGTTTGTAGTAACATGTGTAAGCCATTTAAACCACTCCAATACTATTCCATGAGCTCCTGCCCCGAGGGCAGGCAGCATCCTGCCCTGTGGTTCCTGCATTTTGCTACGTCCCTGCCCTTTGGGTGGCCGACAATGCCTCCATAGATGGTGCCAACAGCTTGTCCATTTTGAGCCAAAAGTGCCTTAGCACCAAAGACAAACATTGTCAAAAGTGGCTTTGGACTTTGAGTGTGTCATATTGTTGGTGCCCAGTACGACGACATAAGAACATAAGAGCAGCCAGAATGGGCCAGGCCAAAGGTCCATCTAGTCCAGTATCCTGTCTGCTGACAGTAGCCAGTGCCGGGTGCCCCAGAGGGAGTAGCCGTCAATCGGGGGCTGTTTGTAGGTAATTTCAGCCCAACTGACTGGAATGTGCACCGTTTCAATAACTGAAGACCTAGAAGCCTAAATTGTATCCTTCTGAAGGAGTCTAGCTATGAAATAAGTACCAGTCCTCTCCAATGTTCCCTACTGCCCCCCAAACCCAGTCACAGCTGGGCAAGTCACCCCCCATTTCAGTACAACAGAGAAACAAAGCATCTTTTCAAAATACTCAACTGTCTTTTCATGCTGAATCCCTAAACTGTGGTCAAAATTACCCCTTCACAAAAGCAGGGGAGAGTGAGAGATCGTCTTGATACACTCTGAACCTTACTGTGTCCTTCCCACATGGGAAAACCTGACCCACTTACCATGCGTTGGGACACCTTTCTATCAAATTCTTTATTACACAGACTCATCTAAGACAGCTGATGATCCACAAAAACCCATTCATCCAGGTCCCTCTACTTTGCTGGTCTAATCCCTTCACTTTCCCTCTTGCCTCTCAGTATTCAACAGCTTCTGCCCTGGGAAGATTCCCACCACCACTATCCTTCCTCTATCTTGCAGAAAATAGTAACTTTGGGGAACTCAGAAGTGTGCTGCTGAAGGAAGAAAGTCACAGTGGTCTTCTCAGAGAGACTTCCCGTCCCAGGAACAAAGGAAGACAGAGGCAGAAGATTCTGGAAGTGAACCACTGGATAGGCAAGCAGTGGAGAATTTTGGATTTCTGGAACATTGGCCTAACTTCTGTGGAGAGAAAAACTCGAGCAGGCTGGCTAGAGTAGTCAGGAGTTAAACTGGTAGCAAAAGGGAAGGGAGAAAAGGTGAAGATCTGAGCACTCAGCACAAAGTCGAGATCCTGAGAAGAGAAGGTAACTTATCTTTGACAGCTTCAAACGGGTAGCTGAGTTAGTCTGGAACAGGTGTTGTTTTTCATCTTTGACAGTAACTGTGGTCCTTCAAGATTTGTGTCTCCGCTATACACATTTTTTCTCTCTGTACATAAGCTGACACCTGGGACGAAGTGAACCTATCCCGTGATAATAGGGATCTGGCATCAAATGGAGAACTGAGGATAAAATAGTAAAGCCAAACATGGCATCAGATGCTGAGTTATGAGTGACTGCACAGTGTTCAGCAAATGTCCAAGTTGAAGTTCTCTGCATTTCTGTGACCACCACATTCCTGAGCAAAGCTATGGAGCAGAGGGGGATCTTGTGGAGTGAGTTTGTATTTCAGAAAAGTTGAAAATCATTAGACCGGCAGCAGAAGATCATGCAACCTGTTACCCACGTGAAGAATCTTTGCTTGGAAATTAGGGAATCCCTTAGTTCTGTCCTCAAAACAGTGAAAGTCTGGGAGATTTCCTAAAGGGTTTAGTCCTACCTAAGAGAAAAGTTAATTCCTCGCTGTGACGTAGTGGGGGTACCTGGCTGGTTTCTATGCTGCTGGCTCTGGGGCAACCTCCACTGGCTGCCGTGGGTACCACGACCCAGCAAAACAGGATGAGTCACTATGCAAACCAGTGGCCAGACACCCCCCATGGAGAGGAACAAAGGAAGGTGGAATGCTGCCCTGGCTGGGGGGCAGGGCTGGAAGAGGGTTGGTTAGTTCCTGGCTGGAAGGCAGGGAAGAAGGAGCTGGGGAGGGGGGCTGGGACTCCCCTATCTCAATGGGGGCACTGAGGCCTCTTAGCCCCAGTTCCTGTAACCAGATTACATCTGTGCTGCGCTGTGCTGGAGGAACAATAAACAACCTCCATTCTACTGGCTGGTGAAGTCTGTTCATGCCATTTCGGGGTGCAGGAGACGGGGGACCCCCAACGCGCCGTCACACTCGCTAACACCAAGAGTGTGTAATGAGACATCTCTTTTGCCCTGTTGCAGTCTGAGAAAGAAATGTATAGTAAAAGCTATATCTAATAAAATAGGATATAATAGTTTCTTATTTGTTGTTTGTTTATTTTGGATAAGGGAAACAGAGGCAGGAAAATCAGCAAAATGAGTGACAGCGAGGCTCAAAAGAAACTAGAATGTCATAGGACTAAACTGCAGAGCAGGAGATCAAATATAAAAGACAAACGGAATTATGGAGATTCAAAACTGAATTACAAGATGCCAAAGAAAAGACTGCCCGGGAGAGCGCCGGGGAGGCACAGAGGCTAGTCCTAGAACTGATGGAGAAAGAATTAGAAGCCCAAAGGGAAACTTCAAAGCATGAACTGGATGGATTGGACTGGCAGTAACAGCACCCAGCAGGACCCACCTCTCAAAAAATCCACAAGTGGGAACAACAGTGGCCAGCTTATGGTGAATCTATAGACATCCTTGAATATTTCATCACCTCTGAGAGACTGTGCACCATCCATTCAATTTCTGAGACTCGGAAGGGTTACATCTACACTGTAGTGCTCCTTTGGAATACCGGAGGTATCCCAAAATAGCTATCCCGTGTCTTCACAACACGTCCGTTATTTCCAAATAGAATGGGCTCACTATTCCAACGTCCCCGTAACCCTCACTCCACAAGGAGTAAGAAATGTTTCAGAATTACGGGTTATTTTGAAATTTGGCACTATGAAATAAGCTAATTCGAAATTGACTCGAAATAAGCTATGCAATTTGCATAGCTCAAATTGCATAGCTTATTTCAAGCTACAGGTGCAGTGTAGACACACCCAAGATGACCACCAAATTTGCAAAACTAAGTGGGAGAGCTCTGGACATGTTCAATAATTTGTCTATTGCTGATGCTTCAAACCATGGTAGATTCAAGAACTTGGTTTTAATACAGTTTCAGATTACACCTGAAACTTACAGAGTAACATTTAGATCCCTTAAGAGAGGGGATGAGCTAAGTAATGTGGCTTATGTAAACCAAATGAAAGATCTTCTGGATAGGAGGGTCAGAGAGAAAACGAATCACACCGTTGAAGGTACATGTGATTTGGTGGTCCAGGAACAGTTCTGCAACAAGGCTACTGATGGCGTTCAAACTGTTTGTGGGGTGAAATGGTGGAATCAGCTGAAGCTCTTGCGGACTATGCTAATCAGTTTGAGCAACCCCAAGCACCTGCAAGGGGTAAATCACAGAGTTTTTTAAGTTTGGTGGGCTGCAAGGTCCCCACTTTACTTTACCCCTGGGAAGAAGGAGAGAGGATGGGAGGATACGTGTTCTGGTTGGTAGCCATAAGATCCTTGCACCTTTGCCCAGGGTACAGGTTCAGACAGGGCAAAACCAAGCTGAGTTAGTTGTTGCTGCTGGGTCACAAAATTTTACACAACTTATT